ACATTATCAGAAAAAGCTACAACAGCATAAACACATAATTGAATTACAACAAATAATCAAAAAAGCAAAAATAAAAAAAAATCAAGAGATAGAAAAAGAAGAGAAGAAAAAAATAAACAAAAAACTTATAGACATTGGCAAAGAAATAGGAGCAGTGCTACCAAAGTTACACAAACAATGGTCAGAAGCTTGGATAGATGATTTAAAAGGCTGGCAAAGAATTTTAAAAGACAAAAGAAAAGAAGAGTGAGAACAAGCTCAAAGAAAACAAATATAAGAAAATATAAATAGAAGATGTGAAATGATAAAAACTGATTAAGGACGAATGATTGCCAGCCTCCTAAACAAACCATACAAAACAATAGTCTTGGACAGATTTATAACACAAAGCACAGAGGAAACCAGTCTAACGACAGAACCTAAAGCTGTTTTAAATGGCCTAGAAAAACATTTCAGAAATCAATTTAGAAAGTAAAAAACCAAACTAGAAGAGATGCCCAAAGAATAGATAGAAGTATATAACCCAAAAGTGTAGATTAAGGAGTCTTGGTATAAGAAGCTAGAGGAAAAAATAGAAGAAAAAAAATGGGAAGACATGTTAAGAGAACTCAAAGCCAACACAGCCTCAGGAATCTTAGGCATAAGTTACACTTTAATAAAATGAGCAGGAAAGAAATCACAAAAGATTTTTAGAGTCTTCGCAAATCTGGTTTTAGAAACAGAAGAAATGCCTAAAAAGTGAAAATAGCACAAGTCTATCCAATTCTGAAAGATGTAGACTGGGAATATAATCTGAACAATATTAGACCAATAGCATTAATTGAAACCTTTAGAAAGCTAGTCACAAAAGTAGTAACAAGAAGGCTAGCCAAGATATTTACAGAAAGAAAAATATTCAAAGGACCAAATTATGCAGGCTTGCCTGGCAACTTTACAGAGCAACCAATACATATGCTAAACATGATAATGGAAGAAGCACAAGAGAAAAATAAAGAAATATGGATACTTCTGCAAGATATGAAGAAGGCATTTGACTTAGTCCTATTGGAAAGCTTAGATTTGGTACTTAAAAGAGTTAAAGTACCACAAAGAACAATAAGATATATTATCAACCTTTTCTGTAAACACCAACTTAAGATGATTACAGCCTATGGCTTAACAGAAGAAATAACAACAGGAGATGGTATAGATCAAGAAGAGATGATTTCTCTACTAATCTGGCGACTTTTCTATAATTCATTGTTGGAAAGAATTCAAGAAGATAAATCATTAGGCTATGTAGTAAAGCAAAAAACACTAAAAAATATAGATATTAACTGTATTACAAAATATAAGCAAGCAGCGATTGCTTATGCAGATGACACTACATGGATTGCAAATAGCAAAGACCAATTACTTAGAATTCTTGAAGTCATAGAGCAGTTCTTCAATGCGAATGATATCGAAATAAATGGAGCAAAGTCAAAGCTCATAGTGATAAACTCAAGACTAAAAAAAGAAGATAGAGAAATCGTATTTGGACAGAGCAGGATAAGAGAAGAACCAAAAAACAAAATTGTGAAATCATTAGAAATTTGGCTAAATAGTAGAATAAAAGAGTCACTAGTTTGCAAAAAAGCAAAAAGAATAGTTAGCCAAACAGTTAAAAACCTTAGATATAAAAAAATAACAATGAGCCAGATCGCTTATCTAAACAATACAGTAATTATCCCAAAACTAGGATACCTTTTACAGCTAACAAGAATGTCAGAAAAGATGATTAACAAGATTCATCAGCCAATAATATGTCTGGCAAAACACAAATGCAAAATAATGAAAACAACAAACAATTGCATAATTAAGCACAAGGATCTGGGAAACTACAAATCACTAAGTCAAAAGATAATGACAAAGCAAATAAGCAGTCTATTGGTAAGACTTAACAGAAAAGACACTTTGGGTAATCTAATAAAACTTAGAATAGTTCAAGTATGTCAAAAAGCAGGCTTAGTAGAAGACATTTAGGACACTGAAAAAAGGCAAGAAGAAATGAAATATTGGAAGCACAATTTAGCCTGTCAAACAATAGTTAAAGCAAGAAAGATAGGAATAAACATTAGAGCAGAACATCATTTATGGAAAGTATATAGATATAGAATAAGTATAAAAAACTTAATTAGAGCCAAGTCATGGGCAACAAGTAGTAGTGCAATAAATAGATGAGGTTTAATATATTTAAACCAACTAGTGGACATAAAAGGAGAGAACCTAATCACATAGAGACAACTTAAAAGTTTTCTAGAGCTGTCATGTAAAGGGAAGAAAGCCAAATAGTTCAGTAAAATAGAAGAAAAGATGTTAATAATACAGACAAGTAGAGAAATACACAACCAATACAAGATCAAAAACTACAATACACAGGCACTAATGATTAAATAGACAAAAATATCTAAAAACAGAAGGAAGAAAAAGTGGATTGTACACAGACTAAGATACAATTAGCAACTTAGTAAGATATTAAAGAAGAAAAAAAAAAAGATCTTAACTGAGCACTGGTTATTACAGAAAGTAGAAGACAAAACATATACTAAAATAAGCAAATGCAAAAGATGTGATAACAAAATAGAGCAAATGACAGATATCTGTGGAAACTGGATAAGATGAAACAATAATATAAAGGCAATTTCAGAAACATTAGTAGAGAAAAGCAGTAATAAAATTAACGCAACACTAGAACAAATGCTAAAAAACAGAACAATAGAAGAATGGAAAAAAGAAAAAGGAAGTTTAATCGAGCTAAAACAAGTGAAAGAGTTAGAAATAGAATTAATCAAGAAACAAAAATTTAATAATAAAGTTACAAATTATATAATAAAAGCTCTAATAAGAAACAAGAAGAGAAACAAAAACAAATATATTCTTTATACAGATGAAGCATTATATAAAGAGAAAGGAAAAAACAATATAGGGAAGATGGGCATTGGTTGGGTGCAGATTAGTAATAGAGAAAACTGACCAGAAGAAGAAATATCACTAGGACTTGAAGGTTGACTCTCAGCAACAACATCAAAATTAGTGGCAATATGGTTAGCAATCTTAACCATACTAGAAGGAAGGTGTATAGAAGTGCATACAGACAGTCTTACGGCACTAAGACATATTAACAGAGCACTTCAAGAAATAGGAGATGATGGAGTCTTAAAAAAAAAAAATGCGATATAGATAATAAATATTATAGATCTATTCAAAAACAAGAACAATAGAATAGAATTAGTTAAAGTTAAAAATCATAGTAATGATAAGTGGAATGATAAAGCAGATATACTTGCAAAAAAAGGAACTATATGTGAAAGGACAATATTTACAGAAACGATCAAATGTAACAAGATAAAGTACCAATTAGAATGGGAAAACAGAAAAGTTGATATATCAACAAGACTTCTTTGTAAAATAGTCACAAATATCAGAATTGGAGCTTGTTGGAGAGAAACAAACCCAATTCGAGTACTAGAACCAGAAACAGAGAACACTCAATATAATTGGTCAAGCTTTTGGAAAGAGATGAATAGAACAAAAAATATTCATTGCATATCAAAAAAACTTAGCACAAGAAGAATAATAATGATTAAATGCATAATGGATGACCTGCCAACATTAGAAGAATTAAATAGAAGAAGATCAGAAATATATAAAATGACTAATTGCCAAGTATATCAAAAAGGTAAAAAGGAAACTCAAGCACACCTAGCAAACTGCAGTAGACAAAAAAATTTATGGAAGAGAATCCAAAAGGTAACAACAGCAGCAACATAGAATAGACTAAAAAAAATAAAAAAATTAGAATCCTGTCTTTAGTACTATATGAGACATTATTTAAAAAAACAGAAGCAGAAGAAATTGCTAATAGAATAACTTTAATAAAAAGACTAATAATGAATAAAGTTGGAAAGCAGATCAGTCAGATTTTAAATAACCAAACAACACAAAAATGCATAGATATAATCATAAGAACAGTATGGAATACATTCTTCAACCAAGTATGGAAAATTCAATGTAGGAAAGTACAAGAATGAGAAAAGGAAGTTAATATAACAAACAAAATGAAAAAAGATGCTCAAATTAAAAAAGGATCAGAGAAAAGAGGAAAAAAGAATAAGATGACAAAGAAAGAAGAAAAGAAAAAAAAAGTAGAAAAAACGAATCGAATGAAGGAAGAAGTTTTGAAAACAATCGATATGCTTGTTACAGAGAGGGGAAGACCTTTCTGGTATGGCTTTAAGTAGTTAAATGAGCAGTCTATCTCTAACTGAGATAATGCGGCAGGTTGCACTTAGGTACCAATAGGGTGGCCGAGTGATGCTAGACTTGAGTATTGGGAAATTCTATGTAATTATATGTATTTAGTTTCAAGAATCTTAATAAAGTACTAGCGTAACTGCTTAAGGTTAAAAAAAAAAAATAAATAAAAAATAAAATTATACGTCATCAAATAGTAAAAAATTCACACATATCGGTCGATTTTGTTTTGACTCCAAAATCAACCAATCATAAGTGAAGATTATCAGAAAATTTTACGCTTAAAACTAACTGTACTTCTAATTAAATATATAGAAAATTATGAGATTAACATATTTCATTATAATATTAAAGAATGGTTGCATCAACAAGTTCAATTAAAAGAAAAGCAATGGGTCAACACAGAGATTTAATAATCCGGAAGTGGTATACGGAATATGGGTGTAGTGAGGTAGGAAAATTATTCGAAGGTACCAATGGGACAAAAATCATGAAACTATGAAAATGTGAGAGGATAAATTTAGAAAGCTGGGTTCATCGTCTCGGACAGGGCCGATGATTTACTGCGATCACAGAAAACAGTAGAATTTTCCTTAAAAACAGCTAACCACAGAAATCACCTTTAGTCATCGCAGAATAGTGCAGCATGTCAAAGAATTCTAATAATATCGCAGATCGGCACCGGGAAATCCCGAAAATGTAATTTACGAAACATGTTTTGTTAGAAATTTTGCGCATTTTATATTTTTTATTATCACAGAATTACACAAAAATTAATTTTATTATTATAAAAAAAACAGCACATGACATCACAGAATTTTTCTTAACCGAAAACAGGATTTGGTCTTAACCAAAACAGAAAACCAATAATCTCCTATATTTTTTTAATCTTTGATTCAAAATTATCTAACTTTGTTACTTTTGGCTTGAGGGTATCGCTGTTACGGTTAGATTTACCAGCAGGATGTGTCTGTAGATTATCACGGACACAGATTTTTGAGATGCCGACCTAGATCTCTGAATTCAGTGCAAAGGTCCTTCCAACAATAAGCTTGGTATGGAAACTCTATTTTAGGTATTTATAACTTATTTTCGATTATATATTTTTGTTGATTGAACATTAATATTTTTAAAGGCAATAGTGAAAAATGTAATAAAACCAACGGAGGAAACGCTTGAATTGTTACAAGACTTCGATATGGGTTGTGATCACTTACTTAGATATTGTCCAAGAATTTCGTGTCAACTAAAAGGCCATTGTCCAAGAATTCCGCGTCAAACTTAAAGGCCATTGTCCAAGCAATTACGCGTCAAACTAAAAGGCCATTGCATAAAATGAGGCCATTGTCCAAGAATTCCGCGTCAAACTAAAAGGCCATTGCATAAAATGCTGGGCCGCTGATCATAGAACACCATCATCTAAGCTACAATTACCATTAAGCTCTTCTACTCCAGAAAGTATGAGAATAACTGAAAGTGAATATAATATTTATTATCACTATTTAGGCTTGTAATTGAAATCTGCTGGTTACATTATTGATAAAATAAAGTATACCCACAATTTGAATTAACCTTTAACACATGTGCGAAGTGGATGTGTGTGATTAAAAATTCTTTTAATTCGAGAATTTAAGTGTTATTTAGAAAAGATTTATCCACACTACTAGCTACGGAAGTATCCTGGTCAGTGATCAAAAAATCTGCTATGCCGACTTTTTGAAGATCTTAAAATAGACTGGTGACTGCGATGTATTTTAAAATATGCTATCATTTTTGAAGTTGAGTCGGATTGAAACTTGAATTGGAGATGTGTAAGGTCAAAATAGAAGGTTTGCGTTGAACTAAATTGATGATTTATATAAGTTCAGATTTTTTAGAGTAAGTTTTAGATTTAAAAGCTGAAGCCAAAATCTAGTTTTCTTGGGCGTCGCTAATACTGTATTATATACATGTGGCCGAAATATTTCAACTTGCGTTGAAGCTATTACAGCTTACAGTATATCGTAACTAGTTTTGAATAGACCGAAATAGTTTTGCAGTAAATATTCTAGTTACAATAATAATTTAATGAATTATCGCTATTACATATAATTCGTTTACTTCCACTCAACAACAAATTTTACAACGATATTTGTTGATATTATAAGATTCTAGCATTCTATTTTAGCGTTGCTTCTTTGACTGCTAAAATATTATCTAATTTCAAGTATTTAATCGATAACGCAAAGTAATGAAATACGCAGTGTAATATTAATAAGATAAAAAAAAACAAAAAAACTTTAATTCTTATAATCTTTGATTATTTGGTGCTTTTCTTTCTTATTCGATGCCAAAATTTTGACATCTTGGTATGAAAGGTCTGCGTATAGCGAATGAATATTTCTTTAACTCGGCATAAATACACAATAAATTGTTTTTATGATTTTAATGATTATTACACTTATTATACACATCGCGTAAATGATGATCTTGGTTTGACGCATCTCAAAATCGAATTTCAGTCTGAACTGTTTTTTTTTTAAATATAACTTTAAATTCACTAAATGTATTAGTCAAATGAATAATAATTAATTCCTAAACTTTGCACAGTGTTTAGATAAATATACAGGTATTAATATAATCCAGTACTTTTAATTAATTTTCATGAAAGCATAAATGTTTTTATATAGGAAATCTTTTGATTTATTATTGTGATAAAGTATGTATACGTAGTTATGGTTAAAAGCTCTTCGGAAGACACCTTTAGCCAACAATAATTATTTATTAACAGAATTTATAGAACAGAACAATTTTATAAAACAGGATAGTAAAACGATTATTACAAATATAAAAATTTCTAAACTACAAAATAAAGAAAAAAAAAAACGATAAAAAAAAAAACAAAAAAACAACAAAAAAAAGAATTGTTTTTCAAATTGTTTCTTAACACAAAACAAAAAAAAAAAAAAAGAGAGCAGTACGTTTAGAGTTTTTTTTTTTTTTTTTGTTAGATATGAAAAGTAATTAAGATAAATTTACCTATAACTAATGCAATAGCAATAGTAATAGTAATAGAAATTTACCTATAACTAATAGTAATAATGATAGTAAACATGGTATGTATATGTGTATATTTATAGATATATTCTATTTATTTAATATGTAATTTATTAAAGAAAAAGAAGCACCAACCTCATTTTCTATAATAAAGAAATTATTCACGATTTTTTTCAACGAGTAAAATTGGTTTCATTCTTGGATCCTCCTTTTTAGCAGCAGCCAAAGCAGCAGCATTAGTACCAAAGGCGTAGGAACCCCATTTCAATATGCTAAATCTTTTATTAGAACCATTGTTCATAGTTTGAGAACGTCTAGGAACATTGGCAGATGGACGTTGACTAACAGCAGAATAATCATCACTAGTATGCAATTTCCTTGTAGTAGGCACAGCAGAATTTTTATCATCTATTATCTCATCTTTTGAAGTTGGAGAAGAGAGAGAATTAATTAAGGTAGTAGTAAGGGGAGTAAGAGAAAATTTAGAAGTCGTAGAGGTGGGAGATGACGAGGGGTTAACAGAAGAATTTGAAGGGAATTTAAAATCTGACAAAGAATTATTACGTGGTCTTGAAGGAGGAGGTTGTTTTAAAGAATCGTTAGAAGTAATTGGACTTGTTGGTGATACTGGATTTGAAACTCGATCGTTGGCTTTTGAAAGTTTTTTTTGATGCGATTCGGGAGACCAGTTTGTAGCCAAAGTTTCTTCAAATCCATCCACTTCCATTATACGATTTAACATTTTTTGAATATATTGATTCATTGACTGGTTATCATCTTTAAGGATCTTGATTTCATTTTGAAGTTCTATATTAACAATTTAATATATTTTACACAAATATTAAACGTCAATAAAAATAAAAATAACAATAATAACAACAACAATAATAATAACAATAACAATAATAATAATTATAATAATTACCTTCAATTAAAGTATGATCACATTCTTTGTGAACACGTTCTCCAACAAGCGAGACACCAGAATGATTAATTTCAACATCCAAATCGGAAGAATCGGAAATGTTTTTATTACCCAAAGCGGCATTCTTTGCCAATTCATTCTCATATAATTCTTTTAATTTTCGATACTAAGAAAAAAAAAAGAAAAAAAAAAGTAAATAAAATGAAATAATAAAAATAATAAGAATAAAAATAAATAATGATAATAAAAAAAAAGTTTTTTTTTTAACCTCGGAATCCTTATCATTCAACATAGATTGATGCTTTTTATTATCTTCCAACATGGTTTTATTAACAATCTTAACCTGAGACAACTCAGTTTCCAATTGTTTAATTCTTCTAACATGAGTTCTATTTAAATCGATTGATTCTTGATGTTCACTTTTTGAACGTTCAATTTCGATAGTAAGATCGGCAACTTTCTTTTCTAATTCTTTAATAGTTCTTTGAGCACTCATATTTTCTCTTGTCAAGGTATCTCTGAAATAACCAGAGTCACGATAAGAAGAAGAGGTTGTTTCCGAACTATTCATTCTTTGGTGACCAATTGGAGAAGAAGGAACAGATGTACGAGGAGAGAAAGATTGAAAGATTGAAGAACGAGGAGAAGTATTAATTGAAGGAAGAGTCGAAATTACAGAGGTTTCTACCGAGGAAATTGGTTGATGATAATTGGTATCCAAGTTCCTAACATTAATGTCTACAAATGAATGAATGATAAATGATTTGTAGATAGGAAATAATTGTGAATGAAAAATAAATAATTAGTGAATAGTTTCATCCTTAAATAAATTTATTTAAGTTGGTGACAGCAACAATTAACAATATTATTCAAATAAAAAGTGGTCAAATAAAGTGACTCGATGGTAGGAGAAGAAAAAACCTCGAAAATCGTACCTATATCGTCAATTGGATCAGTTTTCGTTGAAGTCATTATTTAATATCTTAAATTACAATAACTAAATATATATATATATATGTGATTATATATCGATATCGATATTCTTTTCTTAAAACGTATAATAATCGTTTTGAGCTTAGGTTTTTATTTTTCTATTAAGGTTTTTAACAAAAGAACTTTTGACGTTTCCTTTTTCTATGAAGTAATAACACTTTTTTATTTTTTTTATTTTTTTGAATTCACAGAATTCTTTTAGAACATTATATTTATGTAACCAGAACAATTAACCAAAAAAAAAAAGAAAATTTTTTTGATAATTTAAATTTAGAGCGACAATTATATCGTAAAAGAAAAAAGAAAGAATAACTGCTGGTTATTGTTTTTGGAACATTTTTGAAACATTTTATTAGTTGAAACCAAACGGTTTAGTAAAAATGGTAATAGTAATGTAACAAATGATTTATCATATTTGTTACGTATAAATTATTAGAATTAGTCAACAAAGTGCTTTTTAATAATAAAAAATAAAAAGAATGTAAATAAAGTAAATGAAATGAATATTAGGTTTGTACGACATAATGTCGTCCTACAAAATCTTACAAAAACGATTTTATTCGTTGCAAATACGCGTGGTAAATAAGCGAGCGAATTGGTTGTCAGTTAGATCATTCTAGTTATATTTGAAATGCATAAGCACATTACTTTTTTGACAGATCCTTTATATCAATGAAAATATTCTAATAATGTCACGTGAGTATTATGCATCCTGAAATACTTAAGATCATCCCTTAATAAATATCTCTGTAATTGTGATTTGTTGTAAACCAATAAATTAAGCAATTCTAATTTTCGGCACTTATGTGGTAACAAACCAATTATGCTGAAATTGCTGAAATTACTGAAATTATGCTAATATTAAAATGGGATGTTTTCAAGGAGAAAAAAATTTTCCGAAGAAAATAACATAACAGGTGACTTTTTTTTTTGACGTACGTAACATTACGTATTTAACAAAGTTCGATCAATGATAAATGATAATGTTGGTTTTTTTGATGTGCTGCATAGATTTAAGGGTATACTTGAAGCGATAGTTACAAGATTTTATTGGTTCTTGAGGTTAATAATCAATCTAAATCTAAAATTCTTTTAATTCTCAAAAAAAAACGCCATCATATTTTATATCTGCAAGGTCGATAAAAATTTCAAAAGCCTCAGACAATTACGATTATTTCGATTGCGTAATAGATGGTCTTTACCACATTGAAAAAGAATCACTCGGACAATCCTAAATCACATGTCCTCTATATGGCATTATATGCATAAACCAAATAACGTAATTATTACCTCAGGGCGTGCAGTTGTAGCCCTTTTTAGCATTAATTTTAGAAATTTATGATTCATAATTTGTTCACTTGAAGGGTCACCTTTTTAATTAAATATGCTATATAGCATTAAAAATATAAAAAAAAATGCTTTTTTTTTTAAGTATATTTATATTATGAACCTTTTCAAATGTTGTAAAAGCTAGCTTAATGCTGTAATAATATCCACATTGTTTGGGGTTGAGTGTCTCGGCACTTCATGGGGCACAATCCGCGTGGCCTCCTGACCAAACAAATACTTGGATTTTTGCTTGTAATCAATAAACGCATAAATAGTGATCTTTTTCAAATGTCTTCGGTTTTTTGTTTATAAAATCATTTCTATATAATTCTATATAGTTCTATATAATTCTACATAGTATTAGTTCTAGTCATTTTTTCTAAACATCTTTGTTTTAAATTTATTATATTATTGGATCTTTTATTTATACAATAACAGACTGCCCTTTTTAAATATCGTTGCTTATTGGATAATTTGGTTTTATAATAAAAAAAAAAAAGATTACACTATAAACGAAAAATGTTCTTTGATGGTATTCTCATAAATCTGGAATTATTTACAGCCCATCCTTTTGTCGTATTTTTGGTGTTAGGAGTTCTCATAACCGGTAGTCGAATTAACCCAACAATACAGTTCGTTGTTCGAGCTTTTATAAGTTTTATATTCATAATCGCATTTTCGGTTTATGGTATCATTACCGCAATATTTTTCTCTTTAATCGGTAATCGTGGTTTGATAAATTGGGCGACTGCTAGATCTTATGCTTATATAGCCGGTAGTGCAGTTGGAATATCATATAAAGTTGAAGGTGAAGAACATATGCTTACTGGAAAACCATCAATCTATGTTTGTAATCATCAATCAATGGCAGATTTGTTTGTATTGGGAAGAATTTTTCCAAAGGATTGCGTGATTGTTGGAAAAGCAGAATTAAAATATGTTCCATTCTTAAATATTTATAGTAAGCCGTTATTTTATTATTTTCCTTCTTTTTTAAAAAAAATTCTCGTATGTTGAAATTTAACATCTTTTTTTCAATTTCATCGAGAATATCGAATTCATTTATTCATATTTTTTATATATATAGTAATCATATACTTTATAAATCAATAGTGATCCTTGGTAATTCCATATTTCTCGATCGAAAAAATCGTGATAGCTCAGTACAAGCTTTAATAAAAGCTGCTGATGATGTTAAAGAACGCAAGGTAATTATTTATCTATTCCTTTTTTTTTAAAAAAAAAGAAAAAGGTTTTATATTCATTGACAAAAAGAAAATCATTTACTATTTAACAGACGAGTGTCTTTATATTTCCGGAAGGCACAAGATCTCGTCTCAAAGAAGCTGAACTTCTTCCCTTTAAAAAGGGTGCCTTCTATATGGCTGTACAAGCCGGGATTCCTATAGTTCCAATAGTAGTTGCTAATTATAGTGATATCTATAGTTCAAGTCGAAAAATATTTTGTGGTGGTGAACTTCATATGAAGGGTAAGTTTTAATTAATTAATTAATTTGGTAATTTGTTAATTTGTTTGATTAATTTACTAATTTTATTTATTTATTTATTTATTTGATTTATTTGAATCTCTTAATATTAAAAAACTTTGAACATATATTCTCTCTTATTCTAGTATTACCACCTATCGAAACAACAAACATAGACATTAATGATAAAGAGCAAATAAATGCATTGACAGACAAAACTCGTGAAATCATGCTAAAAACTTTACGCGAAATTACTTCAGAACATAAAGTTCGACCATTAAATAAAAAAACTAGTAACGGTAATACAAAGTTAGATAATCAAAAGTCTAGTTAATAATTAAACAATGAATGAGATATGTGTGTTGGTGTCGTGTTGTATAGTTATTTAATTTTATTTATTTTATTTTATTTCATTACTTAATTTGTTGTTTCTGGAATAAAATATCTCATGATTTTATATAATGGCGAATTATTTTTTTACGACACAGACGTGAGCACTAGTAAATCTTAGGGTTAGGGTAGGGTGTATAAAATAAATTAAAATTATAATTTTATCCTTAATTTGTAATTTTATTAAAATTCCGTACAACATATTCACGAGCTACCGTTTCTCTCACCATCACGCGAGGTGACAATTTAAATTGTCCCTGTGCGATGTCGGATAAATAGCCTGTCAGTACACACATATCAATATATCTGATATGGTGCCAAGATCATTTACGTACGGAGATTAAAATTATTTACCGATACATGTGATTTAATAGGTTCGTCAGTTATACCGATACGTAGCAGTTATAAACAATTTTCGAATGAATTATTAAATAATAGTATGAAATAAATTTAAAATAGTTTCACACGATAGTTGAATATTATTTTTTATAATAAATCTTGATAGGTAAAAAAATTTTTTTCACAATCTAAACGAAAAATATAGATGAAGTGTAATGAACGATAAAATAGATGATTTTTTTGTGAAAACAATAATTCCAATATCGATATGATTGAATAATTAATCTGAACTGTAAAAGTTAATAAATATTTCCATTTCTATGTATTACGAGAAAAATTGTAATCAACAAGATTGTTTATTCACTGATGCAGCAGCTATCATTAATTATTATTAATTCATTATTATAATTTATTATAATTTATTATAATTTATTATAATTTATTATAATTTATTATAATTTATTATAATTTATTATAATTGAACACGAAAAAAGAACCCCATTCCGTAAAAAACTTCTGTTTACTAGTTATATTTCTATAATTAAATTTATTCATTTTTAGTACGTATATCATTTTTATTATACATACCATTTAGTCTAATAAAGACTAGGTGTGTATACATGGTAGTAAATAAATAAATCTTTTGCGATACTATATTCAATAAAGGAAAAGAGGGGCATTTAACCTTAAAAGTCAAATATAAATATACGTATGTATATATGTATATCGATATATTTATTGATTCCAAATTGATTTACAGATAAGGAAAATAAAGAATGTACAATAAAAACAAATGATGATGAAATATTAACGAATATTAGATATCAAATACAACTGATACTTATTACACTGAATTAACCCTAATCAAGAAAAAAATACATATATTGGATCTATAAAATGAAACATGTATTCTTATAACAAACCTATGATGTATCAAATTAATGCATTATACGAATTTGATGCGACTTTGTTTACAAGGAGACAACCAACACTCATCTACAATAATGAGATCAAATATTAATATTTCTTTTAAATCATGGCAAAAAAGTTTAAAGTTTATACTTACACGAACTTTAAACTTATTATATCTTCATATACAGGTATATAAATTGTGTCTTCCTTACATTTCAATATCTCCCATAACATATTCTTCGTATGACATTGCACTGAATATATGATTCGAAAAAAAAACAAAAAAACATTGAGGAATTAGGAAATTTAATTTCGATGTTTTTGAACTTCTTAATTCACCCACCCATTACTGTTGGTTACCTGCAATGCACCATTTACATTGTTTGCATTATTTGCATCATTTTGCATTGCTTTTATCCCGCAACTTATTCAATTATTCCAAGAATTATTTAATGTTGCGACTGATGCTGAAATTTGAGGTATCTATTTAAATATACTACTAAATTTGGACCTATCAGGAAACCCTAAACTCTAACTCCAAATGCACTCCCAAAAGAATTCTATTCAAATAGTTTCAATTCTCATTATCAGCATCAGCTGCAATCTTTAATTATCCCGAGAATTATTTAAATATCTGCTTATTTCATTAGTCGACTCATGAAATAAACATCTGCCAATATGCAAGTATGTTCCTTGCAAATACGTATACGAGAAAGTTTCTGTACTATATTGACATTTGTACATCTTTATAAATCCCTTATGTACACCTTCATAAATCCCTTATGTACACCTTCATAAATCCCTTAATGTCTAACTTACTTGATATCACTTTCAGAATCCGAAAAAGAATCTAATGGTTCATCCTCTTGTAAAGGCGCGTTGATACTAAAAATAAAAAAATAATTTTTATTAAATATACTGAATAATTTTTATTAAAATATACTGAATAATTTTTATCAAATATACTAAATAATTTTTTATTAAATAAAAAAATTTCTACTTACCTCAAACAGCGAACGGTAAAGAACAAGATCCTTTTTAGTTTCTTATTGTTAAAAAAGAAATTAAACGACCATCTAAGATAAAATAAAAAAAAAAGAAGCACGCACAAAAAATAGAATAAACAGATATCATTTGAGATGAACTTGTTTATATACAGAGGTCCATTCAATTTATTGCAAATGATCTGTAGACAATGAATATATTTTTAAATTTATTTACATACATAGCACCATCTTCAGCATTTGGATCGGAATCAATATCAGGGTTAAATGAATAAACGTTACATTCATCTAATTCAATTATATCATCAACTATTTGCCATAGATTGAGATCATTTACAATGTATGCACGACCGAGGTTAAAAAGGGTGTTGTTAATGTAATTGCAAACCATTGGAACTGATGGTTGTTTCGTGAATTGATCAGGTTTAACATCACTATAATATAATAAAAAATAAAATAATAATAAAAATTTTATATTAAATATTTTATATTTATTTTAAGAATAAAATAGTTTAAAATTGACACAAACGAAAAATCATAATCAGGATAAGACGCGTTTAGAGTTGCTATCAAATTAAACAATGTCTTTCGAGAAGATGGTTGATCCATTGGACCAAAAGGAGATATTATATTATAAAAACTGTGTTGGTCAGGTGATACACTTTGCGATTGAGTAAGTTCTGCAGTCCATCGTCCTTCGAGATTTTTATAAAGTTTTTTATCAACTCCTGCAAGTTTACCTATAAATAAAATAAAAGATTATTATCAAAAAAAATGAATTATATTTACCACTTAATTAAAGAACTTACAAGAATAAGTTTCTATTCGACCTATCACTCTACATTCTGGGTTCTCAAACACTAAAGCAGTGTTTATAGAGTCGAGAGAAGAAATGTCAAGAAATTTCATTGAAGTTTGAAATTTTTATTTAGAATTTTTCTAATAATGAAAACAAAGAAAAAACCATTATAAATTATGAAAATAACAATATAAATTATTCGACAAAAATTTTCAACCTTTAAAGTTACTGTTTAGACTAAGCGAACGTATGATAAATGGAAAAACAAAATAAGTGGGAAAATAAATTTATTTATACCAGTAATTGGCCTTGTTTGTTTATGCGCGCAGATCATATGACACCTTGACAACTTCCCGAACAACACGATTACTTCCCTTTTAATTTAAACTGCACCTTATACGGTTTCGTTTCTTGTTACGCGAGTTATGTATCACACACATCTATGATAAATCAAAGCAAGCAATTTCGTGTGTATGTAACGTATGTACGTAAATACCTAAATACTCAAGTTCTCACTATTGCAAATCCCTATCATAATTTTATGATGATATGTTAACCTTCGTAGCATAGTAAATAGTAAATGAACTCATTAACGTAATTCCAACCCACCCCCTTGTAAATCTGCAAAAATCATACTAATACAGAGTAGGTGACATCAATATAATAATGATTTTGTAAAAACGCGAGAATTTACGTACAAATCTGTAGAATTAAAATACAGTATGTAATGCGAGCCATCAGATTAATGTACAGCCAATAATGGATTTAGTGAATTGTTATCTAACAACTAAAGGAACTTTACTAATTAATTACGTATTATACAATATTGGCGATTTTCATTATCGTTACGCCATTGTAAATTAATATGGAAAAAACTAAAGTTATAAATAAATACGTAATATTTATGAATTGAAAAGGCTGCACTTACATTAATGTCATTTCCTATGTCTATAATTAAGAGGTTTAATACTATTCGATTCGTCTTTTTTATGCAAATCGAATGATGCAGAAATCTCTTATCGTTATATAAGTGCGTGAGAGTGAAAACCTGGAAACCGATTTAATGATTTACTATGATTGGTTTACAGGTTTTCACTCTCACGCGCTTATATATACTTACTACATATATGTAAATGTAGGTTTAAGCTGGCAACAAAGTCGTTAATCAGTTAACCGAACCGGGTATATCCGACTTCTGGGTCGGATAAGTTTGGACAGTTCATTCAACATCCCTAATAATCGGTTAAGCGATCAAATCAATCGGGTTATCAAAATTAACCGGATATAAAAACATCCGACAATTATTTATTCTTTTCTGCAATTTGTGATCTTGCAATTTGTGAATATAACGAAGTATTTAATAAACTATCAACTTCTTTATTTAATGGATTGTAGATAAATTTTCAATTAGTCGAAAATTCAATAAATTGATTAAGTGAGCAATCAAACCTTTTCAAAGTTGTTCTAATTAGCTAAAAATTTAAAGTTCTCATTTCGCATCAAGAATCTTTAGTAAAATCGTTACAAAGATTATTAAGATCATTTCAATTAATTGCCATTATTAGACATATTTTGATCAATAATAATAGCAAGTCATATTAAGGAGATCTTAAGAACTTCTTAGTTTGGGTACATATAATGATCTTTATGATTTTCGTCAAGTGAATGAAAACCCGGAATTCTAAATATAGATTTCTTTTACAAAGGAATATAATAACGTGTGATCAAAGAACAATATAACCAGTATTATTCTATTTGTAAATTTTTATACAACTCTTTGTTGCATTTAAAATTTAAATAAGCTATTTTCATTTATTTTATTTTCATTTATTTTTTATTTTATTTTATTTTATTTTATTTTTTATTTTATTTTATTTTTTATTTTATTTTATTTTTTATTTTATTTTATTTTTTATTTTATTTTATTTGGTTTGATTTGATTTAATTTTATTTTATTTTAATTTATTTGATTTTATTTAATTTAATTTAATTTATTCTATTTTATTTTATCTTATTTTATTTTATTTTGAGGAAATGCCAACCCACTCTTCCTCTTGGGCAGGGTTCCCAATGAAGCTGCGAATGGGGCCAATGGAATTCCAAATGGTGCCAATGGAGCCGATTGAGTCAATGGAGTCAATGGAGTCAATGAAGCTAATGGATACTGGTTTTTTGAACTCCATTCGCATAGCCACTGGCTTCATTGCCAACCCTGCCCTTGGGTATTTTTTTTAAGTATAATGGTTAAATACTTATTTATATTATTTATTTATTTTCTTACTTGTATTAGCTTTGTTTGTAATTATAATTATTATCTATTTAATTAAAACATACATACTTGCTTTTTATTTAATATTTTTTTTATATTGATTTAGTTTAGAAATAAATGATTATTTAAATACGTATTGAGGAATTGTTTGCGTACATCAAATCCGTTTTGGCCAATATAATTGCAGCATCAATTAGTAATCAATTCATGCTGAAATTCTCTTACGTAGTTAATTTAGCTAATTTATTAATATAATCAATCAATCTTTTCTGATAACATCCGGTATTATTGGTTGAGGTACTTTTACTGGGGACACTATAATGTGCGTTATACAGTATGTAATAACTAATACTGTACAGCTCTGTATATACTATCCCCTTTAAATAATATTGGGGTACTATACTATTGTGAATTCTAACATTTTTGAAAAGTATCCCGATGCTAATCAAGTACGTAGTCGAATCAAATGATCCTTTTATGTGATCAACTCGTATTATTAAATATTCTTTTCCTAGTATAGTACTCTTCCTCTTCACACACAGTACCCCCGGAGTATATATCAAAAAAGTTTATGATTACGTATATTGATAATTAATAACAAAATCATCTAAAAGTTTTACTGTAAATAGCACCTGATATTAATTTAACCAATTTTGTTAACGTTAAGCAGTTCTTGAGTAATAATTAGTTAAATTTTTTTTTTTTTTAAAAAAAAAAAATTTGATTACCACATACAATCGATTACTCAACATCTATATGTCATAGATAGAGATTTTATCCATCAAAAAAATTTCTATCCGGGCATTATTAAATTATCCGATTATCCGGGTAATATTCTAAGTTTGACTAAAAATACTGTAATACATAAAAAAAAAAAAAAAAAAAAAATCATATTAACATTAGCCAATCATAATCGGTTACATAATTCTCCGGAAAAGCGAATACCGTGGCTTACACGCATTATCCGATGTCCATATCACAAGATAAAAATTACGTCATTCCGATTTCGTTTTTTTAATTGCATCATATGAAAAAATCACAATGCCCAAACATTTCACTTATCAGTTCCAAGACTTGATCATCATTTCATCGTTATATATACGTACAGTACTAACAGTACTAATAATAATTAGATCTACACACATTATTCACCAGAATAAAAAGATTCAGACTCTGTGTAGAATATTAGGTGGCACAGAAATTCTAACGATGTGTTCAAGTAGTTCCAAGAATAAATTTAGAATTATCGTTTACTTGCTAAAATTTGTATTTGGTTCAGAATTCACCCCTAGTCGATCATGGATGGATCTTTGGCGTGATCAAGTACATACGCCATCCTCCTCTACGTATCGATAAAAAAATATATTATTTACTATAATTTACATAACGATAGATAAATACATACGGATTATAACGATAATTTTGGAATATAGTTTATACGAATAAGTATTAGAATGTTCACTATTTTTGGTAACAAATGACATAATCAGATGTATTAAGAGATAGAATGAAATAGTATAAATAGACATATATGCGTACGTACATTAATAAAAAAAAAACAGTTTCTTAAAACATGTCGTTTTTAAAACAATTTAACTGTAAAGAAATAAACTATGGTTATGCTCTAGGTCAGTTTTTTTAAAAATTTATCATTCATTCATTCATTCTCTTTTTATTTAAAGAAAAAAAAACCCTAAATAAAATCTAAATATCATATATATTTATAATTTTTAGAAAGTACTACGGATAATGCCTCTCGTATAGTGAAACCACCAAAATTATCAAAAATCCGTTTAACTCCATTACGAACAAAATTTTTATTCTATGGAACACGAAGTGACATCCTAAAATGGATGGAAGAACATTCATCCATAATTGTAGAATATGATACATCTGAAGATACATTCTCACCTTCTTCATCTCCTCCTCTATCATCCTTTGTTCCATCATCCCCTCAAACGCTTTTTCCATCTTCGCCATTATCATTTCACTCTATCCAATCTTTTGAATCTCAATCTAAAATAACTTTCGATTTATTTGGTCCTCAAGCTCAAAATTCTCCAATATTAACTGATAATACTGTATTTTATCGTCCTCTACATTTCGCAAAGAATCATTTACCATGGTTAGAGGTAATGTTAGAAATTCGTCCTTCGGATCCTGTGAAAGATTCAAAATATGATCCCGTAAGAAGAGTAATTCTAAATTCCGGTATAACACTTGGTGAAGCTGCAAAAGCGTTGAATAAAAGTTGGAAAAATATTTTACCTGATAATTGTAAATTAAGAAATAGTTTCTCTTCAACTTCGGATAATGAAGGTTGGAAAAATATTTTACCTGATAGTTATAATTTAAGAAAAACTAAATCGGCTTCAACTTCTGATGACGATGATGATCTAAGTGAACTTGAATTACAACAAAAACATCATAAATTTTTAGAATGGTTACCAACTGCTAATATTCCTTGGTCAAAATCTGATAATAATGGAAAGAATAGGAAAAGTAGTTTTTCCATGGTTGAAATGCCTTGGAATAAACGTCGTGACAAAGCTCCTGAATTGGTACCACCGGGTATATTGATTCCTTATAATATGGAAGAGGCCCTAAGTAAAATGGAGAATGTCGTTGTTGTTACAAGACCTGAAGATGATGTTGTTGATGTTAATTATGTTAAGACTACGAAAGAACAAGAAGCTGAAAAAGATAAGGAGAAATTGGTGGCTGATTTACCACCTTATGAGAGTATATATAATGATTCGTTGTTAGAACGAGGTCCAAGTATAAAAAAACCTCTGTTCTATGACAATAAGGTGTAAAGTTGTAAATTTTCCTTTGTATCATAAATTATTGACAATTATATTTTATTATTACCTACTTGTTTTTAATTTATTTTTATTTAGTGTATTTATTGTATTCATTTGTTAGAAAATACCTTTAATTCATTTGTTAGACAATATCATCATATTGTATATAAAATAATAAATAATCATTTGTATTACCTAATTTCGAAAGATACGCGTTGTAGTGTGTAAGCGATGCCTCAGGCGAAAACATTAAGAAAGTATAGTCACAACCAGGGGTGCTGAATAATTGATTACAATTGTAAAAAAAAATATATTAATTGCTCTTTACTATATAAACCTATATACGATAAGTAAAAATGGGCAATTATTAATAATATATACTTACAACTAATAACATACTAAATTGTCGTATAGTTACGTAACGATAATAAGTAATTACCTTGCTCATATTTCAGTAATAATTGATTATTAATATATTGTGGCTGCGCCACCAATCAAATCCCCCAGTATGAATTTTTATCGGCTCATGCGGATATTTCCATAGTGCATATCAGGTTTTATTATATGTAACCATTACAAATTTAAATTCTAACTTACCGTTACCATAATACACATCGATGTATCTTCTTTTTTTTTTTTAAAAAAAAAAAAAAAAGTCTATACTATTGAAAGCTTTATTTAAAAAAAATTTCTTTTATAACCTGTCAAATTTTGCAACAACTAAATGAGTATTTAATTAAATTTGGATCAAGTGAATTCTACTCCTACCTATTCAGCAAGAAGTGAATATGATGGTCATCTAATACGTTCTGCAGGAGTTAATTCATGGATAGTCTTTGACATCCAATGGTTATAAAGTATATAAACTTCTTTTTTAAAATTTTTAATACTAACATCTAATGATTGTAATTTAGATATTAATCTGTTAGGAATTACAGGTAGATCTATATTGCAAAAAGAAAATTGAAGCTTGACTAGATCAATTTTATGTATATGAAATGAATCAAGAATTAAAAAAGAATTTAAATTATCTAATGTTCTTCTAGTTCAAATGTTTTCAATCCATTACAACATTTTTATTTCATTAGTTTAGTTTTTTTTATTTGCATAAATAAATACATTAGCAAAAAAGTTTTTTTGTAGAATAATTTTTCTTTTAAATATACAGATTGAAGGTAATTTTGTTTTATCAGCTAAGCATGTAAGAATGATAATAAATTTTTTTTTATGATCTGTAATATGAATGTTAACAATATTTGTTTCATGTTTTTCAATTATTATTGAATTTAGTGAATCTAAAATAAAAAGGTTTCATTTATATTTCTGATTAAATATAAAAAATAATTATGTTGTATATACAGATTTAAAATATAATTAAGAAATATTTGTTTTTGTATTTTGAAATCTTCAAACAATTTTTGTATAATGATTGTTTAATACTAATTTGACAAATTGTAATGATCTAAAAAACCAACAAGTCAGTTATTTAAATAAATAAAGCTGTTTTTAAATATTATTTCTTAAGTAATAATATGTTGTAAATTATATTATTTTGTAAATCAATCAAATAATTTTTTTTAATCTCTAAATATTAAGATAATTTTCTGTCATGTAGTTTAAAAATGTTTAGTAATGTTTTAATTAACTCATCTTTTTTGTTTATCTATTTACATAATTGTTTAGATTGAATATTTGATAATTGTTTGATTTTCTTTATAATCTGTAATGATATTTAATTTTTCTTGTACATTTTATTTTTTTTTTAGTTTTTTGGTTATATAAGCTTTTGCAATATTTTTATTACATAAAATGTTCATTTTACAAGAATAATTTTTTTTTAAAAAAATAATTTTTTATATAATGATCTTATATAATTAATAAATTTTATTTTGTCTTTATAAAGTTTATTACAATTATTATATTAATATTGTATATAAAACAAATAAGATAAAAAATATATAATAGTATAAAAAACAAATATTATAATGACTAATAATAATTATAAATTTTTTTTTAATAATTTAATAATAATGATTTAAAGAACCAATATCATATAAGCTAATTGTTAACATAATATTAACATAATTATTTTTATGATACAATTATCAATAAAATTTGAAAATAGTATATTATATAGTATCACAAGTCAGAAAAATGTATAATTTATTACAACTTTTTCTGTAAATCCTTTTTATACAAAAATAACTAAAAATTTGTCAGTACTAAAATTATTAATATTTGGTTATCTTACTAAGATAACCAACTTTGGTGTCTTAAATAAACTTGTTTAGCTACTAATAGTACATATATTCTAAAAGTTTCAGTCTATAAATTTCGAACTTGCAGTTTAACACTGCAAAAACAGCCTTTGGTCTTCACTATTAAACTTTTAATTATTTCTCATAAAACATCTTATTAATCTATTTTATAGTCATAAGAAAAGTTGTAAAGCACTGACTTCTAATCAAAACAAGACTAAAAAGAAGCTTGTAGGCCTAAAATTGATGGAACTATAATATAAAACAACTTTAAC